CATGAGGACATCTTCCACTCACCTCATACTCTCTGCGCGCACACACACACACACACACACACCTTTCATTAACCCTTCACCTCCCTACACCAAGACTACCACGCACCCATTGCCAACTTGGTCCCCTTCACCACCACCTATCCCCTTCCTTTCTTGAACTCGGCTCGTTCTTCTCCTGATTTAAACAAAACTGTCACTCTCCTTCGCCTTTATGAAATGGATGTAATATCAGACTTTAAGGTGACAATCTACAGATTGTAAAATATTTATGTATTGTTTAAGAGGCTGAGATTATTCTCAAAAAAATCAACACTCTTTGAGAGTGTTTGAAAGAGTTTGAGTCTTTGAAAGAGAACTTTGCAATGGTCTATCAATGCATTTGTCGAGTTTGATCTATGTTAAAGCCAATTATTTTTATAAGAAAATAACACAAATGTCTATGTGTGTACACAGAAAAGATCTCAAAGTGTGCATGATACGAATAGTAGTCTTGGGACACTGGGAAGAGTTTCAATTTCTTTCCCTGTATAGTTGTATTCTCTAGATGTTCTACAATTTGCACACGTTACTTATATAATTAAAAAGTAAGGGTAGGCATTTGATGTAGCAGTTAAGATGCTGGCCTCTTGAGACATCCCCTATCAGAGTGCTTGGGTTCAAGTCCCAGCTCCGTTTCCAATTCCAGCTTTCCGCTAATGCATGCTCCGAGAGGCAGCAGACAATGGTTCAAGTAGTTGGGTCTCTGCACTCATGTGGGAGCCCCAGATTGGGTTCAGGGTTTCTAGCTTTAGTGTGGACCTGTTATGGCTATTGCAGGCATTTGGAGGGTGACCCGAAGATAGAAGGTATCTGTCTCTCTCTGCCTTTCGAATAAAATGAAAAATCAATAAATTAAATACATTAATTGAACACATGCCCAATCAGAAAATGGTGTGAAAGGCCAGCAGACATGGAGAGAAACAGAGCAGCAAGAAAGAGACGTGAGGGCAAAGCACCTTCCAAATGACTTCACTCTAAGTGAAAGACACAGCCCCAAGTCAGGAGTCCCCACCTCCAACAAACCCAGGAGTTCTACTCTTTGTTCTAGCGGATAGAGCCAAACCCCAGCCAAGTCCAGAGGAAGCCATAATAAAGAAAGAACTGTTTAAACAGTTCATGTGTTTAAACAGCACAAATGCAACTATTTCAAAGGAGGAAATTAACAGCTTTTTGCTGGGGGTGGACATGGAGGAGTGGCTCAGGAATGCTGATATCACAGAACTGCGGATATTCACACAACTGGGGCTCTGCACCTTCGCCTGGCTGCTCAGGCTCCAGGAGCCACTTAAAAGCAGGCTATCTATTTTCCAGAAGTAAATCTCTTGGATGGATACCTTATGTTCACCGCGGCGAGGGAAGGTGCTGGGCTGTGGATGGGAGCTCCCGGCCAGAGAAGACAGCTATCTCTTTTGGCACAGGTTCTCTGGGATGAGACCATGTCTAGCGAGGATCTTCTCCAGATTCGACAGCCTTGGCCCTACCCAAGCGCGCGGTATCACTCATCCTGAGTCTTTTCGTGTTTCCTTTCAAGCATCCACAGGTCAAACACTCTGTGTTCCCAACGGTCCGTGAACTTCTTGGACCCGCAAAGGGACATTCATTTTGCTCAGCACTCCTTTAAGGTTTCTATTGTGTTCCATTTCCCACTCCCCCTACCCAGGTCCCCAGAGAATAACTTCTTCCTTGTTTTAATAACTTGGACTGCGGTCAAGGTTGATGTGTTTCTCCATGTTGCAGGATATTTTCTTCAGAAGAGACAAAACAGACGCCAACAGGGTAGCTAAGCCTTGTTTTAGCAGCTTTAGGAAATCAGCAGTCAGTAAGCACACACACAGAAAATGTTGCCAAACAAACAAAAAGCAGACAACGCAGAGCCTCATAAAGAGAAGTATGGGGGACTATTGCTTCAAAAGATTCTCCAGCAATTTTTTTTCCTCCAGGGACCCACTTTATAAAACTAACTTCATTGGTTTGTGGGTGAGGGCAAGAGAAGTGCTTTCATCAAGCTCCTTCTCTTCGATTCAACATGCAAGACAACAAACACACTCTCATTTGAGGCCATGCGGGTAGCTCTGATCCCAATGGGCATGCAGAGATTAGAAAGCGAGTTCAGAGAAGAGGCAGAGGCAGGAGTCAGCATCTCCTACTCCAACTCCACCACCATATCACGTTTTTCACACCAGCTTGTGTTCTACTTAAATCTTATTCTCACATGTCCTAACACTGCTCTTGGGCATCCAACAAAAGATGTCTGCAGGGACTTGCTCTGGACACAAGGCAACATGCCTATTCTTTGTGAAGTAAGTTTTAAACAATAATAATAATGATGATCTTTGCAAGGAAAGAAAACACAATCGAATATTTAGTGGGGATAAGTCTGAGCTACACGATCTTTTAACAAGAAATTGATCATGCCTCATTTATTTATGAATGACATAAAAATCACAGCTTTTTTTCTCAAAGATGCATGACTCAAATCATCAATTTTCCTGTTCCACATCTACCTTGATTTTTCTTAGTATCAAGGCACTAGTTATAGACGGAAGTACAAAGTTATTTGATCTTTCTTCATGTAGTATCTTTTGATTTCCCAAATTTATTTTCTATGTTAACCATGCTCTTGTACCATAGGAAAGTAAATATGGTATCACAGAGAATCACAACCACAACCCGGACTGTCTCCTCAGAGGAAAAGCCAAACTTCATACTGTAATTACAGATTCCACTGAATCTTTCTCTTGCTAATTTGTGAGCTTAGCAGAAAGAGCTAAGGAGTCATCATTTTGAGAACTAGAGAGAGACAAACTGTGGGTCATGACACATCAGTGGGCTGCAGAATCAATCTAGTACCCAACAATCACCATTTTAAAAAATGATATGAATACAATAGAAAATATCAATACACACAGCATAAGAACACTGTTTAGTGAAAATCTGTGTTTTGTGTGTGTGCATATGTGCTTATGCTGGATTTCAGTGTAATGGGCAATTCTAACTGGCCACAATCTAAAACATTTAGGAAACTTTAATCTAGGACCCAGGTCCTGGAGTCAAAGTGGATGCCAACTGCCTCTGATACTCATTATGTGACCTTGGCTGGTTGGGTCAATCTCATGGGAAAGATGAATCTGATCACACTATCCCGAGGCTGATACAGGAGCCACAGAGGTTGTAAGCAAAGCCCTTCAGACAGGACTCAAAATGGCAACTTGCATCCTGAGATAGATGTTCAGTTAACAAAACGCAAGCAGAAGTTAGACTTAAAATATGTTGAAAAGGGATAAACGCACAGTGTATGTGATGTCAGTAATTGTGACTCTTTGCTCTCTTCTGTGCAACCATCTAGTGAGGCCGAGAGCAACCATCTAGTGAGGCCATTTGGTCCTTTTTATGTCACCCCCTGGATAAAGTTAATACTCAAAAAACATACTTTATTTCAGAAACCCTATCCCAAGATGTAACAGATGAATGAAAACTCGAGTTTTTCTCATGCAAGATTGAATAAAAACAAATCATTCACACATTGTGCTTCATCCTTACAGTACAGTTTCTGATTGAGACTGATAGCATCACAAGATTAAAGACCCTGCAAAGCATCAACACAACCTTAACTATGGACAGACGCAAATTCAAAAACACACCAAGGTTCCACAGCTGAAATTTTTGTAATGAAACAATCCAAACAACCTTGTATTCCAGCATGAAATTTATTTTAAAACCGAAACATATTCCTCAGTTCATAATCCTGCTCTGCCTCTTCCTGGCATTGAGTATGGGAAGAGTCACTAAATTCCTAGTAGAGGAGAAAGAAGGAAAGGGAAGGATCTTCAAAGAGCGGGACCAAGAAGGCAAAAGAGAGAAGCCGAGAGTAGGTACATAGACAGAACACTAACACTGTCAGCAGCCCCTTGAATGGAAATACAGAGAAAAAGAAGTTAAGACCACAGAAGGGTTTTTACTTTAAGATGCAGAGAGGAAGTGGAGCTCTGGATAAAACAGCAGAAAAATTTGGAGGTGGGAGAGAGAGAGAAGATCTAACAATAATATCTGAAAGGTGAAAAACAACTCAGCTCATCGTTGAAGGATGATACAAAACATAGCACTGGGCTGATGAGAGGACAAGATAGACGAAGGCTAGATCTTGTGTTCAAGCAGGGGAAGTAAAATCAACAGAAAACAGCTCCAAGGGCTGGCACTGTGGCACACTGAGCTAGGCTGCTTCAGGCCATGTGAGCATCCCATATGGGAGCACTGGTTTGAGTCCCAGCTCCTCTGATTCCCGAACCAGCTCCCTCCAATGCTTCTGAGAAAGCAGCAGATTATGGCCCAAGTACTTGGGCCCCTGTCACCCATGGGGCAGACCTGGGTGTGGCTCTAGGCTCCTGGCTTTGGCCATTGCGGCCATTTGGGGAGTGAACCAGTAGATGGAAGATCTCCCTCCTCCCCTTTCAAATAAATAAATCTTAAAAACAAACAAAAAAGGACACAGTTCCAGAAATGTCCTAAGGGTGCAGGCTATCGGCTAGGGAAGACACAAATGTTTGGGAATGAAAGGAAAAAAGAAAAAAAAAATCTGCACAACCCCACCACAGACTTAGGGTAAGTCCTCTCCCTGAGGTCTAAAGGTAAACAGAGGACAAGCATGTTAAGTAAATCAAGACTTGACTGACTTAACAGGAGTTTCTGTAATACCACAAATGTTGTATTTTATGGCACATTCACACAGAAATGAGCGAGGTTCCTACCATATCACTGTTTGAATTGGTTTTCCGGGGTATGGTGATGAAAAGGGGCACCACCCCCATTCTGCCCACAGTGCATCTCTGGCAAGCAAGAAAATGCAGAGAGAAGGGGAGACAGAGCCTTCCCAGCCACCAACTGCTACCCTGATCACCCAGGTTAGCCCTAACTCCTGTATGCCCCAGGTCATTTGCTTCGCCATTCCCCCATGGTCCACTCACTTGCTCTGCCCTTCTGTCCATTTCACTGAGCTGGAGCTCCCAGCAGCAACTCTAGAAGAGAAGAAGAGGTGGGGGAATGGGGAATGGAGCATGCATGGCTCTGGCTAGCCCCCCAGGCCCCGGAATCCAAGGAGAAACCACTACAGAGGCAGTGCCATGAAGCTGGCTGCCCCATCGAGAGTGCTCAGCTAAAGTCTCCAGCAACAGGGCCCAGTGGGTGAGGTGAACGGCACCACAAAGAGGCTGGAAAGACCTTGGGCTTGGGCTTTGGAATCTGATCTGGGCTTGGAATTCCAGCTCCACCAGTGAGCAGGATTAAACTCGGGAAGTTACTTCACTGTGTGAGCTTGATTTATTGTACTCCTCTACAAAACAGGGTAACAGTACCCAGACCTCGTAAGGTTGTTAGGAAGCTAAGATGAGGTGACTTAGAAGAACACCTGATACCTCACAGGCACTTCCTGGCTGTTGTTTTCTACTGTTCATCTCTTTACTTGTTAGAAAAGCCAAAGTAAGTTTCAGTACTGAAAGCGAGCCCTGCCTGCTTTCCTTGGTTTCATCTGTAGGTGCAAAGACCATAGTCTCCCGCCTAGATTGCATAGCTGTATTCCCCCTATTGTGACTGTGTCACATATGTGAAAAAACCAGTTGGTGCAACCAGACATGCGAACACCTGACTCTGGATTGTCCAAACCATCATCATGCAGCTTGATAAACTTGATCCTGAACTTTGGACATCCAAGGCATTTCTTGATTAGCTAGTATAACAGTAATCTATGATAGCGCTAGCAAAACATGAACATTAAATGAGGTTGAATGGACACAACTAATTCTAAAACACTCAAGAGGGAAAAACCACAGAGTGTGTTCTCATTATCCTCAACTCCCTTCTTCCCAACAAAAACCTCCCCTATTTATGTTTTTTGAAAATTTGATCCTGAACACAACCCACCAACTGGGGAGGGAGGACAGCATCTTAATGCAACAGAGAACTATGCCCCTTTTTTCTAGAACGACTCTCTTTGTAAGTTAGAGGCATCTTGAGAATGGTTCAGACAGGTATAAGTTACTGTTAAAGGTCCCAGGAGCAGAGAAAACCTTACCCCTTTAAGGTGGCTCCTAAGTTCATCTGATTCCAGGTCATGCATTCAAGTTGGGAGGTCATTTGGTATAAATTGTCGCTGTAAGGAAAAACATCCAGAGTTAGAAACATGATCACAAAATGATCCACAATTTTTTTCTTCAAAAGCAATGCAGTTTGAATTTTTCTTCCCAGTGCTAAGAGCCCAGGTTCCCCAGAATGACAGAATATGTGGGCCTGAAATGATTCTCATTTCATTCCATGAGCTCTGCTGTTATTCACCTCACACCAGCAGAAACGATGTGAGAGTAATTTGGAAGCTTTTAAAAACCTTTAGTATAGCAAACACTGAAGTTTCTAAAGGGGTATTAGACCTTGGAGGGGAAGAGGCTAAAGGGAGTGAAACTTTGAAAGGCAACACAGGCTGGATAACTCAACATTAAAGTTAAAAGCCTGGAGCTGAGAGTAAAAAGACAGCAGATTAATTATTCGTGAAAAGGCCATTAAGTTGTTTTAATCAAAAGGATAAGTATCATGTGGATTATGAGGGCCTGAAAAGTCAGAGTGATGGGTGATGGATGGCCTCATAGGCAGAGATATGACACGGCAAAGAAAGGGGATGATAAACTCTACCCACAGCTGAAGCAATCATTCTCTATATGTTCTATAATCCTGGAACAAGTCAAATGGAGTCAAATGAGGAAAAAAAAAAAAAAGCCCAGCCCAGTTCCATTAGGGAAAACAAGGGTTGATCACTTACATTAAGATCCCAAAGGAGTAAATACTGCACCACGTAAACCAACAAAAGCTGTCCTCTCCCCCTTTATATTTCTCTCATTCCTAGAAAACTAGCACATAAAACAATGAGCAGAAATCCCCTAAATTACTAAGTGTTACTGGGAATAAATTCAGGTCTGAATTGAAATGGTTAATTATGAAATTCAAGACCAAAAAGATTAATGGTTCCTCTGAGAACCCTTGGTCTAAACACATTACAGAAGCAAAATATCACTCTACCTTCACGGCAGAAGTGAAAGGAGATAAGAAAGATTCAATATCAAACATGTGATATCAGACTGCGAATCCTGCACAACCTCCGTCTCGCCATGGCATTCCTTTGGGTTGCTTCATTGGGCAGAGGCAACACCAATTTTTAATTCAAAGAGGGTTCTCTCAGGTCAAATGGAGAACCTGGGGAAGAGTGCGGGAAATTACAGCAACGTGGAATCAATGAATACTGTGCGCTCTTTCCACATAGCTTGATAAATCATGGTAGAGTCCATCTGACTCACATATCATCACTCTGAAAATGATTTCAAACTCCTTAGTGGTGGGTATACAGGAGAAAGAGGAAATCAGGGTTCCAGGGGGGAATTTTGCATATGAAAAGTGAAGTGACTTCAAACTCAAAGTATGCGTAGTTTCATTAGTCAGAATATATCTGGACCCCATTATTCATCCCCTGTGTCTGACTGGCTATTATGCTACTACAATATCCTACATATCAATGAAAAAAAAATGATTAGTTTCCCCTACAGCTTCCCCTCTTGTAACAGCAGCCCGTGCTGGTCTGTGCCACTACATTTCGCAATTCCACGAATTCTTGCTGTAAGGCCGGTGTAATTAATTCCTGAAGGACCCCAACTTTTATTAGAAGTGCCAGCCTGCAGCATTGACCACAGGAGAGTTTCTTGAACTTTCTTTGAGCTGACAGTTCATTAATAAGTGGCCTCCTCCACAATCTCTCTCTACTGCTGTTTGTTCTCCTGTGCCTTTTCATCAAGCAATCCATTTATTAATCTACCCATTAATCTCAGCCAACAGGCATTGTATTCCCCAGGCAGCTCTACATTTTTGTCACTAATTTTTAAAAAATTGTTTGCCAACTAAAATCATTCAGCTCCAGCTGACAATTTTCCTAGGCCCTGTTGGGTTGTGGGATCTTTATGAAATTATTTCATCCTTGCATTGCGACTAAGAGAATTTTCAAGAGGGCAAGGGAATAAGATGAGTGACAGAAGCTTATGCACAAGGATGAATGAATCTCAAATATCTAACTTTATGATTTAGGACTCTTCTCACCGACTTAAAGAATAGTCTGGTTGATTCCTAAAAATCTTTGTAAGGGATTATCTCAAACAGAAAATATTTTAAGAGCATTTCCTTGGCCCCTGGGAAGTAAACTTCTCATAAAACAGAGTCTATGTCTTAAATATGAATATCTACATCCTCTTTAGTGAGTTCTTAAAAAATACTCTGTATTACCCTAATGTGGTAGCCACTGATCAAAGGAGGCAGGCTATGGAGCACGAAATTTGGTTAGACTCACACATTGAAATGACGAAACTTTTGGCTATACTGGGTTAAATACAATAGTACCAAAAATAATTCGTGTTAGGAATTGTGGCACAGTGGGTTAAGCCACCACTTGGGATACCTACACAGTATGGGACGGTCTCATTCAAGTCCTACTTACTCTACTTCTGATCCAGCATCCTACCAATGTACCTGGAAGGCAGCAAATGATGGCTCAACTACCTGAGTCCCTGTGACCCACATAGGAGACCTAGGTGGAATTCCTGGCTCCTGGCTTCAGTTTGGCCTCAACCTGACTGTTGTGGACATTTGGGGAGTGAACTAGCAGAGAGGAGATCTCTCTTTCTCTCTCTCTCTCTATCTCTTTAATGTAGGTAGTAGAAAATTTCAAATTACATGTACAGCCTGCATGATGTAATCGTTGAGATTTGGGACATTAAGCCAATAAGTTCAGCCCTCTGCACCTCGGTTTTCTCATCTGTCAAGAATGTTCATCTCTGGCAAATTTCACAGCAATGTTGTAAGATTCAGAGAAAGTAATACCCTTTGAAGACAATACAGAAAACATGTTTTCGTTTTTCCTAACCAATAAGATTCTGCACAGCACTTTCATACATGGTCAACCCTGCTCACTACAATTTGGTGAGGTAAGTGTATCTGTGATCCCCCTCAGAGGAGGCGGGGGCTCAGAGGGATGCCCACGCTGGCAAACCAGGCCCTGCCCCACTGTCTGGCATTATGTGGCCTCTGAGCCTTATCCTCTCAGGATTTTATATAACAACAGTAATAGACAAGAGTCTGGAGGTAAAAGAGAACAGAGCAGCATGGCGGCGCACTCTGTCTCCCCGAGGCTACAATAGTACAAGATGCCCAAAGCATCCTGTTCCGCTAAGATCCCTACTTTGTGACTGTTGCTGTCCTGACAGCTCAGCCTGCAAAACCTGCAGAAGGGGAGACAGGGTGGGGAGAGTGGATGGGAGAGAAGGACTTTCAGAAAATCCCCAAGTTACCAAGAGGCTTCCTGAAGCCAGAGATAGCATCAGAGCGCAGTTTTAACCACATCCTGCCTTCTGCTGATTGGGGCTACGCACAGGCTCAGTCTGGCTGGCTGGCTGGCTGGCACATGGGGAATCAGTGACGACGATGACAATAACTGCTGCTGTGGGGAGGGACAGAATGTGTACTTGAGCTAAAAATACCAGGCCCCCATGCTCAGGCTCCGATCTCTTTGGCAATCAGTCAATACCCAGCTCTCATCACAGAAGGCCACGGAAGGAGGCAGCACCCCTGGAGGAACATGCGTGGCCTCTGGCAAATGAAGCATCCAGTTGTTAAATAACCACTGTAGGTGTCGGCCACCTCATTCCCAGAGGAGATCAGATAAACAGGTGGCTTGGCTCACAGTGACCACACTGGTCACGTAGGCATTTCGGCTCTAGCTGTCGAACTGCCTGTTCGGAAGTGAACTCTCAAATCGCAGGCTGCCAAGATATATTCTCAAAGTCATGATGTCTTTTATTTTTTTAAGTAGACCTTTAAAAAAACAGTCACTTGTTTCCTATGTAAGAAATGTTTGAAGTTGGAGGCAAGCAAGAGAGAGGAAAGAAACTTCTATAACTGGGATTAATGCAAGTTGGAGTAAAATAAAAGGAAGTCAGTCTTAGCAAAAAGGGGAACTTAAAAGGAAATCAGTAGTAGATCATATAGAGTTTGTTTTGGCCTGGACTGTGGTATTACTGAGTTCTCGACCTCTGCACAAAAAGAGAGGAAGAAAAAAAAAAAAACTTCTGCTATTATCTAGACCAGAACTCCCCCACTTTTCAAATGCATGTGTGATTCAAGCCCATTTTCATCTTTAAGTGTGTTTACCATCTCCAGCAGAACAAGAAAGCTCATGTCAGCCCTGGAACAGACCCAGCTAATCTGGTGGAGATTAGGATGGCTTCTGCACGTGGTGGCTGGCTGGCAAAGCAGCATTTGGTAGAAGGAAAGAGAAAAGGAAAGAGAAGAAAGGAAGAAAGCAAGCAAGCAAGCCAAACAAGAAGATGCAGAGAGGTAACTGGCACCCGTGATCAGAAATCACGATGCTTCCAGCTTTTGCTAGAACGGAGGCCTCCGTGGGATTAGCTGTCCCTGATAACTGCAGCTCCCACACGGAGGCTGCAGCCAGACTTCCACGCAGCCCTTTTCCTGCGCTCTTCCCTCTGAGGCGCCTTGGAGGCTGCCTGCCCTGAAATTTCTGCCCAGCAGGCTACAGTGAATAATTATTTCACAGTCACCCTCTTGGTATTGTCAGTTCTCGCCAGCTCACCAGCTAACCAAAGAAAAAAACCCACTGGGCTTCAATCTCTTATTAATAAACACTTGCTCAGCACGAAAGTTACAGGGATTATTTGGAACTAGATGTTCCCCCTCCCTGGAGACGAAGTCAATTCAAGTTTATGGCTTTGATGACACTGCCCACCACCCTGGAAACCAATTCAGAGTTCTACTTTCTGCCTACCTATCCGGGGAAACAAACATCAGAGTTGTACTGGGTGAGACGTGCTTAGGTACACAAGTGAGAAGAGACATTATTAATTCTGATTCTATTTTCCTGGGCGTGGGCTGCCACATGATGTGTATCTATGAGGAAGGCCAACCCAAATGGCCTGTGGATCCCAAGAGGTTTCTTTAGTAGGAAATGCAACCTGCTAGCAACAGCCTCCACTTTCATCATCACCATTTGCAAATCATCAACATTAAACGTAACATGTTCAGCCCGGCACTTACTGCTTCCAGAATTGGAAAAGCTTTACCTGTTCAAGGGTGAAGAACAGCCAAAGGTACCCTCCTCATTTAAAGCGGTTGCACAGTTGCTAAAGACAGACATGCAAATCAAACAAAAGCGAAACTACTAAAGAGCCAAAAACACACAGAACATCACCATGCATGAAGCAATTTTCAGACACCGTGCGCAGGTTAACTTTTCAAAGGCGCAATGAAGTTCAAATCACGAAGTGGCCAGTCAGGGACTGGGGGCTCCTCCAAGTTCAGCAAGCGAAAGACACAGAAGGGGCTTGAGGAAGAACAGCCAATAGGAGAAAGCAGAGAAGTCCCAGGCAGCTGCGGTTTCTGGGTAGAAACTGGGGGGAACTGTGCTGAGTAAGGTTGGACTTGGGAAGGAGATCCTGGGGGAGAAGCACAGACCAGAATGGCTCTGGAAGCAGCCCTTCCTCCTGAGTCCAGATGGATGGAGAGAAGGGTCTCTGCCCTCAGACTCTCCAAGCAGCTGGTCTGAACTTTACCCCCGTAGCTCATGGCCGTTGGTGGAGATGAAGAGTTTGGACTTGGAAGACAGCTGCTTTGGGAGTTAGGACTTCAGGAGAAAGTTCAAGTCTGCTTCTGACAACGCCCACCTGGGAAAATACTGCCCCCAATCCACCAAGCACTTTCTATGGAAATCTATGGGTAGAATTAATGCATGCATAATGGGAACTGACAGCTGTAGGAAACAAAGACTAGCCTGGAGCAAGACCATGGGCAGGCTCAGAAAGAGAATGGCACTTTCCCATCCGGAGAGGGAGCAGGGTGCAGAGGGTAACAGGAATGATTCCAGAGCCTCACTACCTGAACGTAGCCAGCAATTCTGTCCCTCACTCTGTCACGCTGGGGAAATCCACCACTCAGTGCCTGAGCTGCTGTCTCTGTAAATCGGGGGTGAGACCCTATGGCCAGCTCATCTGGAGGTGGATTACAGAAGCTCACAGTGGTCCCTGGCACTCAGGAGTCTAGGGCCGCCTTTGCTCTGGTTAGTTATCAGCAGAAGTGCTGGCATGGGCTATGGAAGGGGAACAAACCCAGGTGGGGAGCACTGAATGTTCCCGAATCACTCATTCAGCACAAGGATGGGCTTTGAAGTCAGAGAGACAGAGAATCAAATCCTAGTTCTCACTCAGCCGGAGCAAGTTGCTTTGAGTCTCTGAACTTATTGAACTTATTTCCTCCTCAGTAAAATGGAGATTGTTATACCTACTTCATAGAGTATCAGAAGGAGTAAATGAGAGAACAGAAAGAGGTACTTGGCACTTAACAGCACACAGCAGGCAATAAATCCAAGTTATTATGTTATATGAACTCATGCATTTATCCAACTATGATCGCCGGGTTCCAGAAAGGTCAGCAGCATCTGGTTGCAGAGGTCTTGGAGAACTTTAGATAAAACTCTACTCCTCTTCAGGATCTGGGGGTGGGGCTATATGGGTCTTCTCACTTCCCATGGGGCAATCCCATTCACACACAAATGTGTGCAGCTAGAACTCCTCAAATCTGTTACACAGAAACAGGAGACAACCTTGCAGAGGACAAGGAAAGAACTGGAATTTTGAGAACTTTCTCAAAGCAAGCTCACAGGAACACTGCTTACTGACTGTCAGGTAAGTACCACTGCCTCTGTTTCAGGCTGGGAAGGGAACCAGATCCCAAACACTTTTAGGGCAGAGGGCAGGGGAAAAGAAGCTGGGAGGTCTGCTCAGGGGATCAAATGCAACAAGGCAAACAAACAGAACACAAGCAAGCCATTCCCTCAAAGGTCACCACTTCAGACAGAAGAAGAAATGGAACAAGGGGCCAGCAGTAGCCAGTAAGCAATTAAAGTCCAGTCCTATTTTCTATGCTTCTCAGCACTGCATGGCTAGAAGCACGCACATACCCTTTGAAACATGTTCAAGAGTATGGGGAAAATGGAAATGAAATAGCTTCAGGAATGTTGGGGTACAAACTCTGACTTTAAACAGCTGCAAGTCTGCCCACTCATCATCACCGCAGAGGTACTATCTGATAAGTGCTATGAAGTAATTGTGAATTTAGGGTAGTCGGAGCCTCAAATATCAGCAACACAAACTTCAAGGAAGAAAACTCTTCTACAAGAGTCAGAAAAGTTTTGGGGGGATGTTACTACTTAGAAATCTTTGAGAATGGATTCCAATGAGATTCATGTAAAAACAACAGGATCAAAGAAAATTCCAGAATCAGAAAGTGGAAAGGGATAAGCAAATATTTCTGAAATTTTAAAACTGCCTTCCACCGCGGCCAATTAGAAGCTGGATTAGAAAACATATAAAGTACAATCGGAGTAACTTTTCCTGCTTCCAAAGCAAACACAAACTCAACCCTAAGTCAAAAGTCATCACAGAGCCTGTTTAGAGAATTGCTAGTAAAGGGGTGATGGTGATCATTGTATCCTGAACTCCTCCCTGGAGTCCCATTGGAGTCTAGGCTTGGGGAGACAGGAGGAGCTGCCCCTCACCAGTGCAGAGACTGCAATGCAACACCGCCAAAGGAGATGTCCTGGACCATTTCCACCATACCCATTCTCACACCAGTCTCCCCCTTGCCTGGGGTCAGACACCAGCTGAGTCCACAGGGAGCCAAAGAGAAAGAAGTGGACCAAGATCATCCCCTGGAGAGCGGTTAGCCCTGACCCCTCCGATGGCTTCTAGAATAATCCTCATAGCAATGACACCCTGGCTGTGGACAGGAACCGTGGATGCTAACGGCCCGGCTGCCACAGCTCTGATAGGAAAGGGAGTTCACACTAGGGAATGGGTGTGAATCTGGCTCCCTGGCAGGCACTTAGCCCGCCAGGAGGGAGGCTCTGAGGGGCTGCGCTTGGAGCAGAATCACGGGCCTCAGGTGTCAGATAGAATTGGTTTCTAGCTCAACAACGAAGGGGGGAAAAAAGTCAGGAGAAGCCGTGACCATTCTATCTCTATCTGTGCAACCTGCGAGCGTTTCTTTGCTCTGTTCCAAAAAACAAACCAGTAACTTGCAATCCGAAATCCAATTAGATACGCTGGATTTTTCAGATCAAAAGAACAAGTTTCCCAAGTCCGCGCGCCTAAGGCGTCAGAAAGAGAGGAAAGAGCCCGCCCCTTTCTAGGAACTCCCGGGATGCGAGGCCCCGGATGGTCAAGAGCCCGGTCAGTCGGTGCAGCGGGAGCGTCGGGATGCGCCGCTGCGGACTCCCGGCGTGAAGGCGCCCGCCCTTCCTCCACCTGCGCGACCAGAGGCTCCCCAGACTCCGCCGTGCCCCCACCCAATCTCCCAGGGCAGGCGCCTTTCCTTCCTTCATTACCTCACTACCTCCTTCCCTTGACGTCAGCCCCGGATCCCCGCGCGGAGGGCGGGAGGACGGGGATGGGTTCGGGGCGGTTGGTGTCAGGATCCCCGCAGCACCGGGGGATGGGGGGGGGGTCTATGAGGTAATGCGCGCCCAATCCCCGGCCGCGTCCCCGCCCCCGCCCCGCGCCCGCCGGGGCGTGCGCCACAGTTACTAGGCAACCCTATCGGAGACGCGGGATGCCGGCCAAGTTCACCCAAAGTTGAAGAATAAATTTGGGGGAGAGAAGGTGGAAGGTGGGGCCAGAGTCAGAGAAGGAAGAAGGGTCGCGGCGCCGGGAGGAGACGCTTGGAGGGGCAAGACACTGGGCTTTCGTCTCCTACCAACAGGAGGGGCGCGCGCGGGTCGGAGCAGTCTCCGCGTTCGGCCCAGCCGCGCCCCGACCTCCTCCGCACGCGGGCCAGGGTCCCGCCCCAGCGCGCAGCCGGGCCCTGGGGACCAAATTCCCAAAGCGATGCCGCGAAATCAATCTCCAGAGAGCTGCGGCGGGGAGAAGGCTGTGGTCTAGGGTACGCGCCGTCGAAGCAGTGTGGCCGGTGTGGCCAGCGGGCGAGGAGGGTTTGGGGAGTCAGGAGAGGAAGCCAACTCCGCAGGGCGTTTTTTGTCGCAAAGGCTTCCCCGCAAAGCCCCGGGGAAAAAAAGATCATTTCTCTGAGACCTTCTTGGGCTACAGCAATTACTCCCATTTATATTCCAAATGAGAACGAGCTGTGCTTTCATTTGCAGTGGCCAGGTGGGATAAAGGCGTCCTGTGCCTCCAAGACTTTGCAGGCCTGGCTGCCCCGCGTGGGACGTTTCCACGCCCACTGGCTCGCGCGCCCGCCTCTATGGCCCCAGACGCGGTGCCCCAGGGCTTCCTACCTGCTGTAGGGCGTCCTAAGCAGCAGGGCCTGGCTGCCGGTGCAGCTGTCGGTGGGCGTGTGGCAGCCGTAGACCGGAGGCGGCACGGAGTACTGCTGCTCGCCTGCCGAAAGAGCAAGGGTAACAGTGAGCGCGACTCCCCCGAAGGCTCAGAAAAGAAAGCCTGGGGAGATGGGGACGCGGAGGCCAGGGTGCGGGGCATGCAAGAGCGGGGCTGTCGTTCCCAAAGAGCTGGGCGCGTCACAGTCCCTGCGGGGCGCACAGGGAGGACCCTTGGGAATTGGCTGCAATGCGCTTTCTACTCGATGGGATGAGAGACTCGATGCGATGGGAGGAGACTCAATTTGTTTTTTTCTTTAAGATATTAGAGTGGAAATGTGCTAATTATTTCGAAGGTTCCTTTAGATGTCCTCTGCTCCCTTCCCCAGTTGGCTGGGGGTTGGACATTTCTGAGTGGGAAGGGGACTTGCACGGAAGAAGACCCGCGTGGTTCCCGCCCGCTTACCCAGCGAGCCCTGCTGGCCCATGGGGTCCTCGTGCTTGAAGGAGTGATTGGGGAACTGCGCCGCGTGGTGCGAGGGCGTGTGGCCGTAGCTGGGCGTCCCGTCGAAGGTGACCGTGCTGTATCCTGCGGAGCGGCAAAGAGACACACAACACAGTGTCAGCGGGGCTCTCCGGAGACAGAGCCCCTGGATGTGAGCCAGACTCTGGGCGTGGGGTGGTGCTGACCCCCACGCATTCAGATCCCCAGCGGAGGCTGATCCCACCCCACGCGTCCCCCGGGACTTTCTCGGCGGGCAGCCAGACCCAAGCCTCAGGACATGGCGTGGGGACGGGCTCCCCATCCTCTGCCCACTAAAACCCTGGTCTCCCCCGCCTTTTCCCAATTTATGTACACCTCGGTCTTGCACAGCGGCGTCTGCCGCTTCTGCCCCGAACCTCCCGCAAGTTAAGTGTAAAACCCGTCGCCCGCCCCGCCGGAGAAAGTAATTCTCCCCCCAAAACAAACACCGCGGCTCTCGCGCAGGGCCAGCGCGGGCGAGCGAAATGAATCTGTTCCGCTGACCCCGCGCTGACTCCGAGCTGTAAATCAGGGGCCTGCGCACCAACTTTCATTAATTACTCCGAGCCAGCGAAACGGCCTGCGCTTTCCATAGAGAGAGTAATTACCGAGTAACGTTATCTGTCTGGGGCTGCACCACCCGACACCCTCGGCTAAGCGGTGAGGGGGAGAGGAGGGGGCACTCCCCTGCGCCCCCTCCCCCACCGCCTCCGACCACCTGGGGCTCCCAGGGACCGGCGCTGACCACTGCTTCGGTGGTCAGCTACCTTGCTCCACGGAACAGAAAACGGATTTCTTTTTGGAAGTGTTTGATACCGTGTCTCCTTTTCCCTCCACGGCAGCATTAGGGGCCCTCTGCCTCAGTTTCCCTGCCGAGAAATCCAGGGCAACATCTTCCCCGAGAGTGAGATAAGAAATAAGGTGGCTCGGTTGGAATACGTCGCTTATGATTATCGTTATTAAATCGCTTTAAACATTTCCCCCGCCAGGTTATATTGGAAGCTGTGGCCGCCTCTGCGGACAACGCATCCTCTGGCTAAAGATAAGCTCTGAACCCAAAAGGTGCTGGTTCCTGAGATCCACGCGGAGTGGCAAACGGAAGAGCAGCCGGATGCGGACATCCGCTCCCGCAGGGCCATCACCAGTTCCTTCGAGGGTCTCCAAACCCCACGGAATTCTCGGGCGTGAAGTGCGGGAAATGGAACCCAGGCCCCCTACTCTTGCCCGGGTAGGATCAAGGGTTAGCAACAAGTGTCCCCGAAGTCCGGCAAGACGGAGCAACGAAGCCGTTACCACCGCAACAAACACGCAGCCACCACCGCCGCAGAAGACGCGCGTCCACCCGCAACTCGGGAACAAGGGAAGCTCAACCGGACTGTGCAGTGTCAGGGGGCGGGAGCTGGGGGGCGGGAGCAGCCGGTAATTGCTCGCGCCGTACCAGTCGGGCGCTAAGTCTCACGCACCTTCTGCGTGACCCCACGGGGCTTCCACTTCTGGCCTGCCAAGTAGTCCGAGATAGCCTCCGTCCCGTTAGCTCCTAGTCGTGGGTGAGCACGCTGGGGCCCCCAGGGGCTTCCTTCTGGGGTCGGAGGCTTAGCCCTGTGTAAGGCCTAACAATCAGTTTACAAACGAAATTTGGCTGCGGGCAACCAACATTGGCCAGTGGGTTAGTCGAATTTCTAAAATACCATTTAAAAAAGAAAAAAAGGGGAGAAGAAATAGAAGTGACCCAAAAAAATCCTAGACAAACCCTTCTCCATTTCTGAGCCGATGAGCAGGCAGTGACCAGGGGCACCGCACGGTTCCGGGAGACTGGCGCCGCAATCGTCAGCACGCAGCGAGCGCTGTGGTTTCCGTGGCGGCTCCCGCGCTGGCTGCGTTGGCTCCGCGCCCCAAAACTCTGGCCCAGGGATGTCTGTGCCTACCCGCCCCCTCCCGGACAGGACACGCAGGCCTCTGTAGGTAGGAGCTGTCCTCGAACCCCTCCCTTGGGTCTCCCGAGACAGGTGGTGATGAAAGCGCCTGCTGAACGGGTAAGGGCTCTTTTAATTAGAAGCTTATCAGACGCCGGACTGATTAGAGAACGCCATCCCTGGGTCCCGCGCTAGGCCTGTAGCGGAGGGGGCGGAGGCGGAGGACCTGGAGGCGAGGCGGGGGGATGTGGGGGTGGGTTGGCAGCTGCGGGCGGGAAGGAGCCCTGTGTTCAAAGGCTCCTTGCACAGGCCTTGGAACACGAAGCCCTAGCGGCCAAGGTAGCGCCTTTCCCACGGTTTCTCCGGGTCCGGGAGGGGAGCACAACCTTGACCGCGCAGAGAGGCAAGACAAGCTCTGAGCCTTCCTCCCCCGCCCGCGGCTGCGGAGGAGCCCGGGAATCCCGGGGAAGCGAGGGATGGGATGGGATGGGCAGCAGGCTCTGCCCGGAAGGTGCTGAGAAGTCTGAAAACCACGACTTTGCAGCTGCAGTGGAATCTGAGAAAATCTGTCCGCCAAGGAAATCCCTTGTCCCAAGTGAGGGGAGGGTGTTGGGAGAGGGCTGCTTTTGGCCCTCAGAGGACACTGGTCTCTCCACCTGACCCAAAGGTGGCCTGTGATCCCGAGGCCTGGTCTGCTAGGGCTCTGCAGGCCAAAGGGCTTAGGGGATCAGCAAAAGTCTGGCAAGCAAGCTCTCACCCCTTCCTGAAAAGCCAGCATTCAGTCTGGGGCTACCTCAGGCCTCACCCTACTTATGCCCTAGCAAACCTCAGCCAGGCAGAGGAAACCCTTTTCCACAGTGGGGCCAAGATCCCTGGAGGAGGAGGTAGACCCAGCCTGGAGTGCTCTGAGTCAGAGCCCAGCTCTGCCACAAACGGAGACCTCTTGCAACCCTCATCTCTTGGAGCCTCCATTCCCTCATCCAAAAACAAAGGTCTCCTTAAGTGTCAGGCTGTGAGCTTCTCACAAAGGTTTTAGAGACCATTAATTGTCTTACCATTCAGTCCCCAGTGCCTGGCACTGAGTAGGCATTTGATGTCTGCTAAATTAATATTTACAGTGGGATGCCAGTTGTATTTCAGAAGCAGAGGGTGAGGAGAATGAACAGGCTTGTGAAGCTTTGTGGGGAAGGGGGAGATGTGTGAGTGGGCATCAGCGATTGTCCCTGTCTTGGGCCATGCCTGGACTGCCCTGCCCGAGGATAGGTATCCAAAGACAGCCTCCATTTCTGGCCCCTGGCGTTTGGCCTTGGCAAGTTATGACCATTCTCTGGAACAGCCCTTGAGTCCCCTAGCCCCAAGCATTGGGCCAAGTCCTGCTTTCTAAGGGAGCTGCAAGAACCCAGGGAAATCAAAAGAATACATGTGGACTCTGGAGGCACTAAGGGCCTTCCCTTTTTGGCCATTCAGATAGGCTCACATCTCACTGCAGCTCTCAGCTGCCAAGGGACCCCCAAGGGCTGGGCCTGCTCAACCCATTTCTGTTTTGTTTGGGAGAGAAAAATCTAAGCTGGCAGACTTGGGGCCATCTCCCCATCTGGCTTTCCCCCTGGGAAGGATAGGCAGATGCAGTTACCTGTTCATTCTGGTCTCCCACTCCTACTCTTGAAGCCTGTCCACTGGAAGGGCCTTATAACTGTCCCCAGGAGTGCAGTGTCCACTGGTTGAGAACCTCACCTCTGCCCCTACATGTAGGTGGAATTGATGGAATCTAAGCACCTGCCCACCAGGAGACTGGACACTGGGGCCCCAACCAAAGCCAGAGAACCCAGGTTTCAAGATTCGCAGGGCAGAACTGAGACTCAAAACGGAGATAAAGGTGCGGCAGTCTTTGGTTCCCCCGGGGTCTTGGATAGGAAGCTTCTAGGGTCTCTCCAGATAACACAAGTCCACCCACGGACTTGTGTCACACACCTGCCGGGCGGCGGCGCGTCTGGAACCCTGGGCTGTTAAGGTACGCTACTCTGTCCTGGACGGAGAGCCCCGCGCTGGGAGAAGTCAGACTGCCACTTCTCTCCCCGACACCTCTGAGGGCAGACCCAACCTCCAATTGTCCATCTCAACTCTCCTCTGACAGAGGGGGAAACTGAGACCTGGAGATTCCATAAAGGTTAACAGCAGCCTACAGTAAGAGGTGGAGCGCCCCGAGAACATGAGTCTCTGAGAGCCACAGTAAGTGCTTCCAACAGCCCTTGCGTTCCAAAAACTTCATTCCCGAGAGGCGGAGAGGGGCCCTGGGGTCTGCCTAAGGTTCCTCCGTGGGACCCGGTTCCCAGATTTCTCTGGAGGAAACTGCATGGTTTCGGTTTTGCCACGGCTTCGGCTGGGCCAAGGGCTCCTGGGTGGTCGGGAGAGCCACGCAGACCCTCTTTCAGAAGACGCAGGTGAGAGCGAGAAGAGCCAACCTCTTCTTCCGTGCCTCAGGGTACTTCGTGCCTCCTGGTACTTCGGGAACACGGTGCACAACAGTGCTCCTCCTACCCCACTCATTCTAGAACCATCCCAGTCCTGGGCCTGGGCGAGGTGGTGATCCAGGAAAAGCGTCCGCCATTGCGTTTCCTAAAACATCCCATCAACCCGAACCGGTTTAAGGTTCTCAACAGCAGAGACATGCAAGGAGAATAAACGAAGGGCCCGGACCACAGGCGCTCGTTCTAAAGGAGTCTGCGCTGGTCGGGACCAAACGTCACGCGCGTGGACGCCCGCGCGGGTATAAGAGAATCACCGGCCGACGTCGCTCGGGGGGAATCGACTGAAGACGGCGAACAAGCCTGCCTTGTCCTAACGCATCAGGTTGCAAACTCTCTCCCTGGTTTACATTACGAGGAGGCGCGCCAAGGGCATCTGCTCCGGCCTTAAATGCCTGCGGTAGCATTTGGAATCGGGTAAGCTGGGTTCCTGTCCGTGGCTGGAGCCTCGCGTGGCCGCTGCCTGAGCGAAACCTGAGAGACCGCCTAAGGCGCGCACTCTCCACCAGCACAGGCGCGGCTCAGGCAAGCCACCTGGTCACTGCCCCACGGTTCTTCCTGGGTGCCAGTGTGTGCCAGCACCGTATTAATACCTGGGGAGCTCCTGGACATTTTGGCGCGGCGGGGCGGGGAGGCAGGCCCGGGATGCTCACCCGCGCTGCTCCCAACCTGACCCCACCATCTACACACGTCTAAAAAGTGCAATGCCTAGTGATAATTTGGAGGCGCCAAAAGCAGGGGAAAAAAAAAAAAACAACTCGTGGCCCGAGGCCTGGCCGCACTCTGTACCCTTCCCCTTGTTCCATTCCCGTGAGGGGAGGATTCGCGGGGCCCCAGGCGGACTCCCGGCTCATGCGAACCGCTAGGCTCCCCGCTCTGCCGCGCTGTGGAGAATGTCGGGAGCCTCTACTGGCGTGCGCTCCCCCGCTCCCTGGCCAACGCTTCCGCCACCCGCACGGCCATAGCGGAGGCTGCGGGGCCAGAGCTGAGATCCGGGACGGGGGAGGGGAGAGGAGAGGCCACGCGCGGCGACAGCTCCGGCGCCGCCGCCTCGCGCTCCCCCGCCGACTCACCCTGGTTGCGAATAGCTGGCTGGCTCTCGAGGCAGCTGGGCAGGTATGGTGCGTTGGGGAACATCCTGGCCTGGCCAGAGGAGGCCTGGCTGGGCGGAGGAGGGCCGAAGGGCCCGTAGCGGCAGGCTCCCGCTGTGCCGGTGAACTGGCCCGAGAAGTGGACCGTGAAGGCGCTCAGGCACTGCTCCTCGTGCGGCTCCGCGCCGCCCCAGCTCGGCTCCTGTTTGATGAAGGAGTGAGGCGGCGGCGGCGGCGGCGGGGGTGGCGGCGGAGCGGGCGGCGGCGCGGGGCCGCCCAGCGAACCGTAAGCCGAGGCGCCCGGGGGCGCGAAATCCAGCACCGGCGCCCACTGCGCGGCGCCGCTCACTGGCAGGGTGCAGCCGCCGCCGCCGCCCAGCGAGGGGACGGCCGGCAGCAGCGCATTCAGGTCCCGCACGTCGGAGCCCATCTGCTGCAGCTCAACCGCGGACGCCCCGCGGCCTCTCCGGCCCTGCGGACGCTCGGCGCTGGACTCGGCCGCACCTAACTTGGCCCAGATGCCGCCCGGGCCCCGAACTCCCGGCTGCTCGGGCTGCTGAAGGCACGCGGGCCCCGAGCAGAGCGCGTGCTGAGATGCCGGCTCCGGGGCACACGTGGAATCCGGCTCCTGCGGCGGGAGGAAGTCCAGGATCGCGGCGAGGAGGCGGCAGGGCCCCGGATCCTGGGCTGCCGTCCCGGCTCTGGGTGGCTGGGTGGGTGGGTGCGTGAGTGGGAGGTAGGGCGGGAAGGGGGGAGCCGACAGGCGGTCGGCTTGCGGAGAGCCCCCGGGTGTGGGCGCTGCCTTGAACTCCTTACCCCAGCTGCCTGGCTGCCCCCAGCTTCCCAAAGCTCAAATAAGAGGGGCCGGCGGCGGGGGAGGAGGAGGAGCCTGGAGGCTCGGCCGCTCCATTCACACCGCAGCCCTAGCCGCGCTGGTCAGCGCGCACAGCTCCTTGGGGGCGCCCTCGCCGCGGGGGCGGGGGGGGGCGGGCCTGAGGGAGCGTCCCTCGCCGAGACACCCTCCTCTCCCACCCGCCACGCGCTCTCAGCAGGCCTGTGTGGCGCAGCCCTCCCCCCACCGCCCCATCCTAGCTTTCAGGAGTGTGGGCGCCTCAAGGCCGCGGGCGAGTCCCTCCAGGTAAGCCGTGTGACCCCCTCTGCATCCTTGGAGCTGGGTGGTTCATCCTAGAGGGCGGGCTGGAGGGAGGAGCAGGTGGGATCCAAGAGGGCGGGAACTGAAGGGGAGCGAAGAAAGAGGCGGATACCCTGGGTATTTGCGCCCGCGACTTCGGCTCTTGCTTTACGAGCCGTCGAGTTGGGATGATGTCCGTAATCCTCGGGTCACTGGGGTGGGGGCGGCCCCTTTGTGGATTCCGGGGGTCGAGACCCAGGGCAAAAGCGCCCCAGCTGGGCATCAGTTACGCTAAGCGGGGCGTGTTGGATCGTCTGGGCGTGGGTTAGTTGGTAAGGTCTGAGAGGGGGGCGGTTGCCGCCTACCTAAAACTGCTGCCAGCGGCCCGTATTTTCCTTTTCTCCCAAGGAGTATCCAGTTGTGCGGTTAAGCCGGGAAAAGCGAGGCTAGTTTGGGAGGAAAGAGAACCCTTGGGGAAAACACCCGGAGCCTGCCTATACTCTGGCCGGAGCATCCCGGCGCCCAGTTGAGGGAGAAAGAGGAATGGAAATGGGGAGGGTTCGGATGCGATGCTTGCGGAGAGAGGTTGGCTCCTGAGACCGCTCTGCCAGGCACTGCCTCTGCTTCTGGTCAGCAAAGCGATGGACACGAGGCCCAGGACGCAGCGGGACAGGGAGAGCCTGCCTCGGCTCTACGTTGCGCGGCAGTGTTCGCACCGTGGGGGGCTCCGAGCGCGTGGCTTCGCCAATTAGACTCCTCCCTCCACTTAGGCGCTGTCCCGGAGCCCCGCGCGCTAGAGCAGGTGTTGGGGAGTTGGTTTTGTTTTGTGAGTTCTTCCAAAGTAGTGAAGATCTATCGGGAACCAGCGTATGGGTAAGGAGAAGGGCCTGGAGCCCGAAGCGGGGAGCGCCTCAGCGGCGCACAGACACGCAGAGCGCCAGGAGGCAGCGGCGATGGCGCAGCCTGGGACTGCCAGGCGCGCGGGGCAGGAAGCAGCCGGTTGCTGAGAGGCCTCGCGCGGGAGGCCGGGGCTGGGGCCCGCGGCTCCAGCGGCGCCTAAGTGAAGCGACCATGGAGGTCGTCGCAGTTGGTCAAAGAAGCCGAGTGCTCCGGTCGCCTAGACCCGTTCCACATTTCTTAGACTTCGGTTTTACCCTGCGTTGTGTGGACGCAGCCTCGGTCAGCTCCGCCCGCTCAGGACTGCTGGACACAGTTTCCTTCCCTTGGGGGTCGCGCACCGAGAAGGTGCAGGAGACACCGTGGGTGAGGGTCGGCGGCGCGAGCTCGCTGCTTGCTCCCCTGACACCTTGGCTGTCGCGCACACCTCCCGGCGCCGCGTTGGTGCTGCACTTCGCTTCGCCTTTGCTCAGCAGCTTTTAAAAAATGAAAAAAGAAATAAAAGGCCCTTGAGGACGGCTCCTTTCCCCTTACTCTTTCCTCCCACTCCTCTCCCGCACGTCCCAGCCCTAAACCTGTAGTGGGCTGCGGGCTGCGCACTGGGCACGTGCGTTTGATCTTTGTGGCCCGGGAGCCCAAACTACTTGCAGCCGCGTTACCCCTGTGAGGGCGATGACCTCTCTTCCTGTGTCGCCACCCCACCTTCTGTTTCTACCTCGAAGTCGTTTTTCCTAACTATAGGACTCGAGCACTAAGGGAAGAGGATCCGCTTAGGAGAAGCCAAACGAAAACACCGGAATTCTTCCTCTTTTACTCTTCTTTGCATGTTTTTTAGGGAGAGGGTTCTCTGGAGGGAGATTGGGTGGAATGTGGGTTTTTGTAGTTGTAAATCCCAGGTAGGTCAAGGGCACTTGTATGTTTGTTTAAGAAAATGCGTTTTTGCCTACACGTGGAGTGCAGTAGGGTGCAGGGGTGGGTGGGAGGGAGGACAGAAGCCAAGCACATTGAGGGGTCTGCTCCGATACCATTTTTCTCAGAATCCTTGATGGGGAGCAGCGGAAGAGCAAGGGTACGATCTGCTTTCAACCTCCGGGTGCCTCCAGCCCCTAATGCTGAGTGTCTAGAGCCACACGCAGTCTGGGGGCCCAACCCGAGGCCTCTGGACGCGCCCCCTCCCCACCACCACGCAGCCCCCAGCGCAGGAACACCTATGCCAGTCCTTGGGAACTCGCAAACCTCTCCCTCCCCTGGGTAACGTTCTCTGCGGTGACCCAAGCAGCCGTGTCCGCTACGCTGGCCTGGGCGCCCCGAGCTGGCCGGTGGAGCAGACACCCTGGCGGCCCAGGAGGTCGCGGCAGATGGGCGCCCTCCTGCACATCCTTCAACTGGAGGCCGCTGGTGGTCCCCGGTAAATGAAGACTTTCAAGAACGGTGTATGCTCCCTTCCCTCACCGCCTTCCTACCCCAGCCTGCGCGGAGAGCTGTGACAAAGAGGACCCGGGTTTGAATGACCACTTGGCACAACCGAAGATTCAGAGAAGGAAACCGGGGCCGAGGAAGAGGAGGGAAAGACGGGCGGTGGAGCACAGTGGTTAAGAATAAGGGATTGCGCGGGTCTCAGCTCCGCCAGGTAACTGAGCCGTGTGACCCTCGGAAGATGTCTGTGGCCTGATCTCTCAGCCTGTTTCCTTACTGGTCAAGCGATGCCAGCGCCTGCCTCGTGGAGTTGTATAGATTCGAAGGGAGAATAGTGTCAGCTCACGCCTACAATAAACTAAGGTTTTTACTACTTTTATTGCCCTAGAACACTTAGCAAGTTCGTGGCAAAGCCAAGACGAAGCCTGGTCTTTCAAAGCCCACTTCGTCCAGGGACGGCTTTAACCTCCACCCCCTGCGTCTCTAGAGCCAACCGCAAGGGGAGGAGTGGAGGGACACCAGGTGGCTTTGCTACCGTGATAAAAAGCTCATGCGTGGAAGGTGTGTAATGACTGCAAGATCAAACAAACAACGAAAACAGAAAACAGCGGCTGGGTAGGAGAGGGCGGTAAGGACCTGTGACTCCGGCTTTCCACCCTGGCGCTGTCGACTGCTCGCGTCGAAGAGCGGAGCAAGGCGCTGCAGCCCGAACCCCGGGGGGACCAGCGCGCACGCCCCAGCCGCGCTCCTGGTGTCACTGCTCGGCCGCCAACAACCGAATCAACACACCCAAGCGCTGCGATCCGCCAAGGGCTAAGGCCGAAGACCGCGGTGAAGAGTGGCTTGACCTCCTGGCTGCTGGGCGCCCGGGAGGAACCGGCGCTGGATTAGCGCCTCTCCCCTGGGGCCGGCGCCGGGAGCCCAGCGCGCGGGACTCAGCCCGAAGTCGGCTCGTTCCGACCCCGCCGACCCCAGCCAGCAATCTGCCGCCCTCTTCCTGGCCAGGACCGCTAGGCAAGGGCTCAGCATAGTTCCCAAGCCAGTGCTGGAGGTAGAAATTCCAGTTTAAATTTGTTTGAATTAAAAAAAAAAGGGGGGGCAGGGGAGGGGATTATCTCGGTCTTTTTGACAAACCCCATGTAGGATTCAAACTGCCCTCCCTGGCCCGTTTGGGGGGCCCGAACCGTTGAGTACTGCCAGGTAGGCGGTGCAAAAACTTGCTCCTCTTCCAGCTCGCAGTGCCAGGGGCTGCCCCGGTTACCGCTGTGTTCCGATGCCACCCCGAGATGGTCCCCGGGAGTCCCCGGTGAAAGGATTCCGCAGCGCTGCCTCTATTATTGTACCGTAAATCTTTTTAAATTCTGGAACTAATTATATAGAGGATATGTCTCAATTTGTTCTGCATTAATGCCACGGTGAGGATGGCGGCCAGGCGGTGGCCAGAGCAGATACGAGGCCCATGAAATTGATGAACTGAGAGTTGCTTCCAGTCCTGAGCGCACCATCTGGAATTCCAGTCTGAGGTTACAATTGGAACTCCTGACCCCAGATTCAACTTTGCAAACAACAGGGGAAAAACGGGGAAAAGAAAAAAATCCTGAGAGGGAGGGGAAAAAAAAAAACACAGAAAAGAAAAAGAAAAACAAGTTATTCTGCACCTGTAAAAAAAAAAAAAAACAACAATCACACAATCTTAAAATTTTTCCTTAGAAAATTTTTTCCAACTATTTCTTTTGTGTTTTTTTTTAACCTATAAAAGATAATAGAATATCTTTTATGGACTGGATTTTTATCTCATCCCTCTGCCTCTCAAAGGCACTCAGTTTAATAGTTGCCTATTATTTCTCAGCGTTGGATTTAATTAATAGGACCAAAATGTTCCACAGTGAATTCGTTTGCTAAACATTCTGTCACTTCTGTGATTTCTGCCTTTGAGAAATTGCTTCATTACAGAAATCTATCTGGATCTAGAAACTCACTCCCTCCCAACTTTTTTTGACTGCTATTCTAGTTTACCTGCAGTCTGAGATTTTGTGTTGTAATTTTGTGTTCTAAATCTGTTGGGCCAATTTCTTCCTTCCTTCTTTCTTTAGTAACACGCTGCTGCTTTCTTTTCCTCTCATTTTGACCCCTTGAAGAAAAGGAAGGACCAGGCAGTACTGGGGAATCTGTTAAATTTATTAGCATAAATGCTTAGACAAAACGAGGTATAAATCATTCAGCTGTATTAAGCCATAAAGTATCCCAATGAAGTCAGTCCCCTGCCGGCGTCCTGGTGTATAAATGTTCATATAAAACAAGGTATCGGTATTATCTTTCAGACTGAATATATGTTGTAAAAATATCCAAATGTTGAGTTAGGAATATGGGAGGAGGCAGCAGGGCAGAGGGGGATATCCTTGGGTGCAGCCTGTTAACATTATGATGGCTCAAAAAGTATCACGAAGAAGGAAAATCCCAACACTTTGCCTTTGGAGGTTCCATAAGATTTTTGGGGGGTTAACTTACCTGTTAATTAGAAAGGCTATATTTGATGGGGCACAAAGGAGTAAGGGAAAAAGGCTAATAGAAGGCAGAAGACATTGCTTTCTGTAGAATGCATTCTTTTTTTCCCAAAGATCCATTTAGCGTCACAAAATCAAGTCAGCAGAGGCACTGACTCTTAGTACAGATAACAGATTAGCCATTAGTGA